CGGTGTGCAACTAATCACAACCTCGAATCCGTCGAGCTTCATCTGGTCACTAGGAGAGATGTATAGTTTTGACGTTGGCTTGATCAGACTTGCGATTGCGCTACTACCTCCGTCTTCGTTGAGCAGTTTCTCGATCAGAGCTGGCGCGTCTTCCTCGCTCGACTTCATCAGCACGTCCTTGTTCTTCCAGAAGACTGTCGGCGTGAGTCCATGAGACCATGCTTCGTGGTCATCGGCAGCACCCTGGATATACCCGCTTTCCGATGCTTCGGCACCGCGTACTCGTCGCGATGCTGTGCAGAGCACGATCGGGTGAAAGTCGGGGAAAGAAGGCGGCCTGTCCGGAAGAGATGATTGCTGTGTAACCCAGATTGGTCGCAGGGGCTTTTTCAGCTTACTGCGAAGGTCTACGATGTTAGGTTTGCAGATATCCTTGCCACGATATCAGCTTATGTACTCAGGAATATCTAGACGACATACTTACCAGAAACTGTTGCACGAATCCGTCTATCCTCTTCTCCATCTGCGCATGCTCGCTCTCTCCCACAGCTTGTGGCGGCGTGAACAACCGCATGTCTTCTTTTTCAGGTGTGCCGAACACAGCTCTGTTGATCACACAGCACCATGTCGGAATGGTTTTGCTCAGCGCGTCCGGCATACTCTTGCCCCTCCTCGTGCTATCCACAACCACGGCGCCGCCAAACTTCTCCACCACATCCAGCAGTTGCAGATTTAGTCTTCTCAGACTGAAACTCCATTCGCCCATGTGACCGTCCGTGCTCTTGAAGTAGACAGATCCAGATTTCTGGGTCGGTGGAATGTACCAGCTTCCACAACGTTCATTGGCTATGAGGGGTAGATCGTAGGCAGATGCGACTGAACTGACGAAAATGCTGTCGGAGATGATTGAATTAAGGCGGTTGTGCGTTGATAGTGTTGAGCGGCGTAGAGAAGAGAGAGTGCTGGAAAGATTTGGTGTGTTGGAAAGATGCGGAAACAAGATATCAGCTTCTTTTAAAGGTTGAGACATCGTTGTCGTGGGCTCTTCCAGTCTGCCAGGTGCAAAGCTGATAGTGTCTGCGCGGGTGGAAATAGAACGACCATTCACATTTGCATACCCCGCACCATCGCGTACGAAAAAAGGAAAGAAACGATTTGGAAGGGTCTCAGACAGAGGGGAAAAGGTATACGTAGATCTCAAGGTTATCGAGGCCTCTAAATGTGATTGAGCCTTCTATATCGCGCTCATGAATTGGGGATGCAAGATGGGTGTTCGTGAGGGAATGACCACAATAGCGCTAGTCCAAGAAGGGATTAGGGATAAGGGTTCAGAACAAAATTCGTTCCGAGCGAACATGGTAGGCAGCCTGTGGATACTTTTGTCTACCTATGGTCTTGAATGACTGCTAACATGATGCATCCGCCATCTAGTCTTGTTTGACAAGCGAAACAGGCGCGATATAACTCTTCCGTGCGCTGACGAAATAGTTGACCGTGGCAATGATAGCCATCGCGCCAAACATAAGCGCCGCCCAATTCATGTCCGTAGCCGAAGGGTTTGGCACTATCGGGAAGAACGAGAAGATGAAGGAAACGAACAAAAAGGCAAGAGCGAGGTCGTTGACGATGCCTCCAAACTTGCCCAGGCTCCAGCGTCGAGGAAGCAGTGGCTCTCCTCGCCAACGCTTCAAGCGCACACATCCAATCGATATGATGTAGGAGAAGATGAGAGCTGCGTTCGAGATGGAGACGATGGCGTTCAACGTAACGTCCGACCCGAAGTTGATGCATGCGAGCACGAGCGAGGATCCGAGGCAGACAAGTAGCGCGTTGACGGGAATGTCCCAGCCGGCTGGCACTCGCTCGATCCATGCAGAGAACGGAAGTCCCCTGTCGCGTGCAAATGCCCAGATCTGGCGCGAAGAAGCAGCAGTAACGGATACGGCTGCAAAGAAGACGAGGATGACGAGAAGAGCACCCATGATCTCAGTGCCGGCGATAGAGCCTGTCGCATTGTAAACGGCCTGAAGTACAGGCTGTCCGGTCGGCGATTCGAGAACCGAATCAAGAGCACCGCCGCACATTACGAAGGTAATCATCTAACACGAGCGTACGTAGTCAGTATCTGCCTTTCATCCAGAATAGTTCAGGCGTGCTTACCATAATGCATCCGAAGATGCCGTTGAAGAAAACAGCCCACATCATAGCTTTCGGAAGCACCACGGAGGCGTCTTTCAACTCCTCAGACATGTGTGCGCCCGCGTCTGGACCAATAAAACACCACAACGGGGTTGAGAGGCCAACCAGAGCAGACACGCCCATCGAGCTCCATTCTCCACCATTTGTCCAAGTCGTGAAAACTTCTTCCGCCGGAAGACGCTCTGCCATGGTCCAGAATAAAATCAGAAACGCGAAGAAAGCAAAGACATGCAAGACGAGCACAACACCTTCAGCGAGGGGAAGATGCTGCGCCAAGAAGATGTTGAATCCGATCATGAGGAACAGCCAGAGCATCATCAACAGTGTGACATGCCATAGTTCTCCAATCTGGGCGTCAGGGTACGCGAGGAGGACCATTCCGATGACGAGACTCGAAAGCATTTGTGCACAGGCGGGTATCCCGCTGACCCAGCCGACAGCCGCAGCCCATCCTGAACATGGTGTCAGTGTGAGACTTTAGTTGTTTAGACCATCCAACTACATACCTACGATGTAACTAAGGGACTTTTGGAATGATGGCGGAGCGAACTCGCTGACCCAATGGTATTGTCCACCGGCAGTTGGGGCCATGGAGGCCATCTCGGCAAGCGACGCAATCATGGCTAGGACGAACACCCATGTGATAATCATCATCCAGATGACTCCTGCTGTGCCTCCATTGAATAGCCCAAAATAAGCTGAACTTTCATTATACTTAGCCGGGATAGATCCGCACAGGAACAAGAACTTACAGTAGAGCACTTTCCCATGTTGACTGTAGGACAACCACGAACCCAATGATGGAAATTAGGCGAAAGTTCCTCTGATTGAACGCTTAGTAGAGTTCCTGCATATACGTCGCAATAAGGGCTTACCCGGAGTTCTTGTTTCTTGCCCATCCGCTGCATGTCCTCGGCATCGTGGGCTGTGCCTCCCAGAGCACTGGCATGCATCCTACCCGCTTCGCCGGATCCATTGCTTCCTGCGTCGTACTCCTCGGCATTCACGATCTTCGATTCTCCGACGACTGCCATGGTATAAAGTACGTGACTACACAACAACGGCCATCAACGGAGGCAAGAGATGTCCTGAAAGAAGAGGGAGGTGCAGTGGGGGAATTCGTCCCAGACGCTGCTTAAGCGATCTAGATGCAAACTCTACAGCCGTTACTATACACGTTGATTGCAAACCGTGCCTAGAGCTAGGAACTAGCTGCCGTTCTTGGGCCCATCACCGCTTTATGTGGCGTGCCATTGAGATCGTGACAGGCTTTGACGAATCAGCCATGAGTAATTAAGGAGATGGCCTTGGAAGAGCGGCTTGAAACTACAGGGCTCTCAAGCCGTGCGCATTGCGCAAGGACACTAATGCATGATATCCGTGGGGGCCTGTGCAATGTCTTGTGTTGGTTCATGTACAACATACCATGTATTCATAATAAGGCGACTCAAGCGTAAGCTTATCAGGTACTGGAAAGGTTCGATTTGTTGATGCTCTTTGACCGTCGTGCATCATGCTATTGGTGTCGCGAGGCCAAATAGCCGACCGGCGACTCGTTGATAGAGCATGCAGAGGGTATGTGTTATCGAAGGGAACATGGAGAAGGACCCTCCCAGGGCCGTTCCGTGGCCACCATAAACACGCTTCGCCCGGAATCATACAGCCGAGGTGTCTATCGTCCAAGCTTGCTTCGCAGCACCACACACCTCCCGGGGCCCCGAACCGCGCACCAATCAAACCTTGGAACACGTTCGCTGTCACAACCTGCATCTGCGTGCTACCGTGCTTCCATCGTCAAAAAGGCTAGCTACAGGCTGGTGGTGTCGCAGATCGGTGGTCGTAGGAGTCCAGCATGGGCAGGTGCGCAAATTCTGCTCCGCTAAAGCGTCGAGAGGTCGAGGAAAGCAACTGTAGGTAGTCTACTCGATCAATCTTAGTTATAAGACCTGATTAGCTGAAGTACAGCAGTCTACGTATGATCAAGTGCCGAGCGGTAAATGCTGCAGTCAGGCACGCTGTTGAGAAGCGATAAGCTCTGGCACGTCACGGGGCAGCCTATTATTGACAAGGTTCAAGGCACCCCGTAATGACCTCTCCGATCTACACCCACTTCAGCGCATGCAATCAGCAACAGGAGGGATGCACCACATTCTAACCAAAGAGCGCTACAAGTTTGGAGGATTTCATGACTATCGGAACCCAGTCCCAGCCATGGGTTAAATGCGGACGGATGGCCCTTGGAGAGCCGCAACACGGTCCACGCGCCTGCTTAAGGGGTGATGTGATACATTTACTGCGCGCAGCACAAAATAGTTCCCAGCTGGTTTCGCCGTTGGACAAACAGCGAAGTTCGAGTCAGGGTACGGTGATAAGATGAGTTGGTTGTCCGCGCCGCAGCTTTGGAGACGACGCCACGACCCACACGGGTGTGCTAACGCCCTGCCGTGGGAACTTAAGGCTACCGAGCAGTTCTCGCGTACTTTTCACGAGCAGTATCATGGCAGATCATGACGAGGAAGCAGTCGTACGAGATCCAGGACGTGCAGCTACGTTGAAATTCACCATCGGTCTCTGCTTATGCTACACACTATGTGTAGCATGCCTTCGAGGTTATATTCGATGGAGAGCTTATAGTCTCGATGATCTGATCGTGCTACTATCAGGGGTACGTACATCGTGGTGTATTCATAACAATTCTGAGCACGACGAGAGGCCGTTACTGACAATCATGCGAATAGGTATTGGCGCTTAGTTTCTTTGGTGTCGTTTTTGCGTCCATCTCTACTGGACTCGGGCGCCCCATGACCGAGCTGGCTACTCTCTCATCCGCTATCGAGAAACTCAACAACTACGCAACGGCTGGTAACATCCTATGGGTCATATCCCTATGCGTCTCTAAGATTGCCATCGTTGCCATGTTATTGCGCACGACACAGACGAGTTTCCACAGAAGATTCCAGTACGGCGTAAGCGCCATAATCGTCGCTCAATGTCTCACATCCGTCCTCCTTCTGAATGTCGACTGCTCGGTCCACCGTGTGCTTGCGTGGGACATCACCTCCGCGCACTCCGAATGTGCCCAGAGTGAGCGACGATGGATTGCTCTCACAGCTCTGGACGTCATGACCGAGGTCCTCCTGCTCTTCCTGCCCATTCAGTTGGTGTGGGGTCTACGTATGGCCTTCCGAACCAAACTCATCGTCATATCGTCATTTTGGCTCCGAATACCGTACGTACCGCTCGCCAGCAGTGCTTTTGTATTAGCTGATCACGCGATAGAACCCTAATCTTCTCTGCTCTTCGCCAAAATGAGATACATCAACTTACGACTACATCTGATGTCTCTCTCACGGCAGCCACAGTGGTCATCTGGCAGGCTGTGGAACTATCATACTCTCTAGCGGCCGCGACGCTCGCTGCGCTCAAGCGGTTCACAGAGTCGCTCAACACTGGTTTCGGTCATGGCGAGCTTATGCGGATTCATGCCCCATCTCAAGGATACAAGCTGTCGGGTCGTGGTGTTACTTCAGGGAAAGCGAAAGCTTCACGCAAACAGGCATCTCGCCCGGATGAGCCTGAAATCTCTATGGACACCATGTCGTCTGACACCACAGCTCTGCCCCCATCTAGATTTGAACCTCGAATCGAGCAGATGAGATTGAGGCCTGAACCACTCCAAAACACAGCGACAGTCTCGTCGGCACCGCAGAACTTGGTTTTCAATAATGGGCGAGTGGACGATACAAGCTCGAAAAACAACATCATACGCCAAGAAATACAGTACTCAGTTCATTATGAGCAAGGCGCCACGATGGATAAAAATGGCAAATGAAGAATCGCCACTCCTTATCCGACACCCATTCGAAGGGAAATGGCAGGCTGAAGGGCTTTACTCGCGATTGTATCATCGCTTTATGCAGTATACTATCGCCTGGATTTGATGCTCTCACTAGGGCTTACCGCCCGTCGCTTCCCCCTATGGACCGGTATGCGGAACATCTGCTCAATGCGTTGGAAACGTTTCGACTGCGATGCGACAGCGAGACGCGCCATCATGTCTGCGACCTCAGCAATCCGGATATGCCGTCACCCAGCAACGTCTGCCATATCATGCATAGTCTGCACGAAGACCTCGGGCTGTGGGCTTTATTTACACTCAGGATTTTCAAACGCAGAAAACCTGTCCAAAGTCCGCTTCCCAAACGACGAGCGCGTAGGGACGATGTGTCGCCTACTTATATCGCTTCTTCCAGACTTCATTTCATGGATCTGATCGGCCCTCCGAATACATAAAGTACGACGAGATCTGGGTGGCAACACAAGAGGTAGGCTCTTACTGTCCGCAGGACCTTGACGCGACGCAAGGAAAGCCATCCATTAGCCGAAATTCGTACATCGGAATGATTGTAGCCTTTTCTTCTTGGTGTTCGAGCAGCGATGCGCGATTTATACTCGCTGAGATAATCCAAGCAAGGGAATCAAGGGGCTTGGAAAGTATCGGAGACGGGAGCCATGAACGTAGAAGCCTAACGCCAGTCGGATGCCGGCATCTAGTGCCCTGGATGCCTGCCCAGGTGCCTCCCAATGGCCACGTGATCGATCACAAAAGTCGGTAGCATCAATATCGAATGGATATGGATATATGGCTGATGTCCAGATGCGCCTTCGCAGGGGTATGGAGAGGTCTCTTCGAATCTTTACGCAATTTGAGCGAGGTCTCACCGCCGAAGCGTGGATCGCAAGAGGCATCGTGATATCTTCGTCCACCCTTTTCGGTGCACACAAATCTTCCAACGTCTGACTATCCTCTCGAGAATCACGGACGTTCACACAAGCTCAGAAATTCTCCTCAAGCGCAAGGCTTGCGAGGCAATGGCGTGAAGCTTAGGTACATTAGATGGCCTCCATATTGGGACTACGCTGGAAGGGGCATAGACTCGTCATTAGCGTGGGCAAGCTTCAATTACCCGACCACTCTGGCATCTGCGAACGCGAACCTCGTCACTCACATCATCCTTCCGAGCGTCGTCGTCACCACTATGTATCAGTTTCAGACTCTCCGTTACCTTCACTCTCTCACAACGCGGTCCGAACAACACAGCTAGCTGCAGCAGCGCAGGTCGTGCGCCGATACGTATGCCGTGCGCTCACAAGACCAGACGGAAGTGGTCTGCCGTCTTCCACCCGTATAGCACGAGTAACGAGATCAAACACGCTAAGATGTTATTGGTAGCACCAGGCTCCACTCGTATCATGCCATCGTGTACCAGAAGTCGTCCAGTGCAGCAAAGAAGAGTATATCCAAGACTATTTGACACGAAGACGGTCAATTGCAATGATACCGTGCATCTCCAGGCAGCTGCTACGTATTGTGCTGTCCGTTCGTGTTCTCATGTGCTCATTTTAGGCAGACGCATATACCCGGGAGTTCCCCCAACCCTCATCTTCCAGAAGCCTACCGCAAGCGCTCGTCCTGCCTCACACGACCTCCAGACCAGCATCGGAAGTCGGTAGCGAGGCTTGGCTGTATTATCGACCTGGTCTCTCGTTCGCCGTAACCTCCCATGTGGATTGCATCAGGGTAAATGCAAAATTAAAGAGCCTCCAAGATCGACCTTCATCAATTTCGACTGTCATGTGTACATTCGAGCCTTTCGAGAAGCTTTCTAGCCAAAGATTTCCGGGCTGCCTTCGTGTACCTGCTTACGTTTTACATCGGGCCGAGCCCAATCAACCCCCAATACAGCATTATCGGGGGAGAGGGCTCGCGTCATTTTACTGCAGATTTGTTGATCACTGGTGCATTGCCAAAGAGTTTATGGGCACTGTGGATGCTGCGAGGAGTTCATCTGCAACAACAGTCGGAAGACGGTTCTCCATGACCAGTGTCATATGACCCGATGAGCTGTCCAACAATACTAAACTCTTTCATATCTCGATGGGAAGCTTACGGGCTACGTAGATGATGTCGCAAACTGCCAATCATCGTCATCACGAGTGAGGCTGAGGACTAAGATCGCGGGGTAGGAGACCCGAACAATAAGCACCCCCGCAACCCCAATACGTCTCATGTAAACATTCATTTATCTACCCTGTAGGCAGGGTCCAAGCGGCTGGAGACCTACCAAGACGACTTTGAGCAACGAAAAGATAATATGACATTCGGAAGTTTGGAAGATACCCAAAGAGAGCATCCCACTGCATAATCCTAGTGGCAGTCTCATGAGGCGTTAATGTCTTTCCACAAAAGAATGCTTCATCCAAAGCTGATAGCTAGTAAAACAACGCCACCTCAAGAAACCCGGCTTTTGCCTCCCACCCAGCTGGTGCTATGTCAGTGGACCCCTACTATACTACCATGCCGCCATTGATAAATCTTCATCTAAGCCTCATATCTCAAGCGCTGATCGCACAGACCCAAACCAGAAGCTAACGTCCGCAGTCTCCGGGCCTGTTTCCTGATGAGACGGTATCTCAATGCTGAGTTGGCGCCATACTAGCAGCATACGATCCAACGCCGATATAAGAGGCTCCGCATACCCCCAAGGCTTCCAGCACCAACGCAACCAAACAAACACATTCAGACGTCAACATGAAGGGTCTTTTCTCTTTCGCAGTGGCCTCGGCCATCACTGGCGCTTTCGCTCTCCCATCTCCCGTAGAGAACGGCCCCATCACTGCTCGCCAGGCTGCAGCATGTGCCACTCCCGTTACTCTGTCCGGCAACCCCTTTGCGTCCCGATCCATCTACGCCAACAAGTTCTACTCATCCGAGGTCGTTTCTGCGGCTGCTCAGATGACCGACACTGCTATGGCGGCTAAGGCTCTCAAGGTTGCTGACGTTGGAACTTTCTTGTGGATGTGAGTTAATCTGCTCGTCCTCACAAATCTCTACTAACAGATAATCAGCGACACCCGTGAGAAGATCGCCGTCGTAGAGGATGGTATCAAAGACGTCCCCTGCAACCAGATTGCCGCACTAGTCATCTACGATCTGCCCGGTCGTGACTGTGCAGCCAAGGCCTCCAACGGTGAGCTTGCTGTTGGCGAGCTCAGCGTCTACAAGTCCGAGTACATTGACCGTAAGCGTTTTATTTCGGTTGATCACAGCCCTTACTAACGATACGCAAGCCATCGTTGCCATCTTCAAAAAGTACCCCAACACGGCCATCGCCCTCGTCATCGAGCCCGATTCGCTCCCCAACTTGGTCACCAACTCCGACCTTCAGACCTGCAAGGACTCCGCCTCTGGCTACCGCGACGGTGTCGCATACGCTCTGAAGCAGCTCAACCTGCCCAACATCGCCATGTACATCGATGCCGGTCACGGAGGCTGGCTCGGCTGGAACGACAACCTGAGTAAGCACCCTCCCACCCCCTCAATCCCATCGCATCCCTAACAACCCCTTTCCAGAGCCCGGAGCCAAAGAACTAGCCACCGTCTACAAGGCCGCAGGCAGCCCCAAGCAAGTCCGCGGTGTAGCCACCAACGTCGCCGGCTGGAACGCCTGGGACCTCTCCCCAGGAGAGTTCTCCGGCTCCTCCGACGCGCAGTACAACAAAGCGCAAAACGAGAAGAAGTACATTGAGCTCTTCTCCCCCGAGCTCAAGTCCGCAGGCATGCCCGGCCAAGCCATTGTCGACACGGGCCGCAACGGCGTCACTGGCCTGCGCGAGGAGTGGGGCAACTGGTGCAACGTCAACGGCGCTGGATTCGGTGTTCGTCCTACGAGCAACACGGGCTCTTCGCTTGTCGACTCGTTCGTCTGGGTTAAGCCTGGTGGTGAGAGCGATGGTACGAGTGATAGCTCGGCTACTAGGTACGATTCTTTCTGCGGAAAGCCCGATGCCTACCAGCCCAGTCCCGAGGCTGGTCAGTGGAACCAGGCGTACTTTGAGATGCTGGTTAAGAACGCTAAGCCGGCTTTGTAAGGCGCTGGCTTTTAAGTCACATCTCATTGGAGGAGGGCATGAGGTAGTTCGAGGACGGGGAGTGGTGCTGCCTTGTATATAGATTGATCGGTTGGTGGGAAAGAAGTCGACAGGTGGAAGTTGCGGTTCGAAAACTTCGCTTCAATTGTTTATACATCAGCGTAGTTACGGACAAAGAAATAGAACTCTCGTTTGATCAAGATCCCCACTGGCGTTTTTGAGTATTGAGAGGTAAAGTAGTAGAACACAGAATCGCATTGATGTTGTCAAGGGCGAGAGTCGTCAACGTTGTTCATTCAACCACCATGACTACGTGCGGTTTTGACTAATAAGATGTAAATTTACCCAAAAGAGTGCGCCTAATGAGTTTTCCCCCTTGCCAACCCATGTATACTTTCCAAAACTCCGCGTGCGCGCTCACAAACTAAGGTATGCTCGCTCGCTCAAACCCCATAAAACGCCATGTCTTCGCCGCGTGATGCATCGCAGTCCAAACAGTACTCTGTAACGCTCGAGTCAAGCCGTGAGGCTTTCCGTATAGTGTAGCGCATATTGAATCGTTCAAATCATTCATCTCCAATCCTCTCTTCGTTTCTATCGTCTTGTGAACTTGATGTACCCTCAATGGAAGAATGCTGTCGGCTAAGGGACCGCTCCAAATCGCGTCTTAGGCGCGTGATAGACTGTTCATCGGAGTCGTTCTAAGACATCCGCCTTCTTCTGAAAGGCTCTTCTTCTTCCTCTTCCTCCTTCTCTTCGTTCACTTGCAGCGTTAACCACGCAGCCACCAGAGCGCAGATACCGCCAAAGCGCAGCACCCAGGCTACACTCGTGTCACCTGAAGTACCCCTAGGCTTTTGTAGGAGCTTGAACATGATGGCACTGACAAGTGTTGCGATG